AAAATGAACTGATCTGCGTTTTATAACCAAAAATTCGTTCTTAATAATAAAAAGGGATTCGTGGTCGGTTACGTTTAGGGAAGGATTAGCACCCCTACAACGCCCAAAATTGGTACTTTTTAATTATAAATTGTCTCTATTATTAAAATTATAAAAATTCAAAAATATATTTAATTTATAATCCTATTATTTCAAAATATAAAAAAATATTTATTTATTTAAAATATCAGAAAAGAACTTCTAGGTGCCTTAAGACAGCTCTTTTCTTTGATATTGATAAATATTAATTTAAATAATATTGTTTAAAAAATAGAATAGGACATCCAGTTGTATTAAGACTGTCCTTTTCTTCGATATTAAAAATAACATTAAAAATTTATTCCAGATTATTATATATATTTATGAATACATAAAATATTTAAAAATATAAACAAATAAAATTAAAACAATAAAAATACCACTAAAACAATATATTTTAAAAGCAATAAAATAAATGAAACTTATAAATTAAATGACTAAATTATAGTAAAATTAAAAACTTAATTCAATATAATCAAAGTATTAGGGATTAAACATGCTATTTCTTTATTTTATTTATTTAGTGACTAAAATAAATTATCTAAAATTCGGATATTATAATAAAATAAATTAAAAATATAAACTAAGGATTAAAATATTATTTATTAAAATTAAGGGATTAAATCTGCTATTTATCCTAAATATATTATTTTAATATAAAGGACTAAAATGAATAAAATTAAAATTAAAGAACCAAATTAAAAGGATTATAAATTTGATTTAGTGACTAAAATGTAAAGTTTACAAATTGGGATGACTGCGGACGTGGTTTAACTATTCTATAATTACGCGCATAGTCCTTCCCGAAACGACGTCGTTTGGGAAGGCCTATATATGGTCCAAAACCGGCTGGCCCGAAGGGCCAGCCTTCATTTTTTCATTTCTGTTCTCTCTCTAACTGAGAGAGAACAAATTTCTCTCTGCCTTCTCTCTAGCTTCCCTCATCGGAGGGAAGCCGGTCACCGGTCGGCAATCGTGTGCCACCGTGATTGTCACCGCCGGCCACCGCATCCGGTGGCCGGAAAAAAATATTTTTACACTAATAGATAGATCGGTTAGGACGGTCCCGATGTTCTTTTCCCTTAAAAAGCTCCTAATCGGAGCGAATCTACAAAAATACCTTCGGTATTTCGAAGGTTCTGACGAGATCCGGTGGTCGAGGCTTCTTCGGTAAGTTTCTTTCCTTCCTTTTCCTTCTGTTTTTGGTTGCTGGATGTTTGACTGAGATCGTTGGTTTAGTAGTTTTTTTTTTCTTTCTCTGTTTTTTTTCTGTCTTCCTTCTTTGTCTCCGTCTCCGTTCCTTTTTCAGGTTGGGGTGGTGGCTTTTATAGCCACCACCGGTGTGGCCATCGGACCAGTCCGAAGATGGGGTCTCGGTGAGTCACCGGACTACCAGTGGTGACTCACCCCGTAGCCATGGCATGGACGGCTGGCGTTGATCTTCTGGAGTCTTCATTTGGGACGTGGCAGCGGCGGAGGCGGCGAGAAAGTGTCGGCAGCCGCGTGGAAACTGGGGCGACGCCGCGTGGCCCTAGGGTATCAAACCCTAGGGTTTCCCTCTGGAGCCATCTGGACCATTGGATCTTGCCAGATCCAACGGCAGCAAGCTGAGGCGGCTGGTTTAGATTAGGGTTAGGAAACCCTAACTGGAAACCCAAATGTTTAGGGTTTCTGGTTTGATTTGGACCGGTTCTGGTTTGTTTGTAATTGGGCCGGTCCAGTTGTAATTGGTCTGTAATTATTATTTATATATATGTTTAATATATATTTAATAATAATAATAATAATGATAATAATAATAATAATAATAATAATAATAATAATAATAATAATAATAATAATAATAATATGGATAAAAAATTAATATCTTCACTTCTTATTCGAGTTGTGAACTTCTATTGTACTTGGGGATGATAAAACCCAAATCACCTGAAAGATTTTGCACTGATTCGCCTTGAATGAAGTGGTTTTTTAACCATTACTTGAACCCGAGATCTCTAAGGAGAATAACATTTCTTTTTACGTAGGTCGTTTGATTAGTTCAATAAAATTCCACTTAAACACTTGATGAATTTAATAAAATTTCAGAGAAATCGCTTGATGGGTTCAATAAATTTGCATGCATCATTTTATTCAGTAAAATTAGCTTTATTATAATTATTGAAATTGCATGCATACATTTATACAAAATCAAAATTTATATATAATATATTAAATTAAGATTAATGTTTAAATTTGAGATTTTATTAAACTCATGCTTTCATCTTTGCCTTTATGTTATTGAATGAAGGACTTGTAATTATTAGAGGCTTCCTATTCCTATGACTTATGATAGTCTCCCATTGTGAAAGTTGAATTAAACCCCTACCCTACTCATCATTTATTAAATACATCATTTGTTTTCAATGCTTTTTAAATAATTGTTACTTTACAAATTACCATTCCATTAAATGATAAATATAATGATATTAGGTCCAATTTGAATTTATATATATATTGTATTTTTTATATTGTTTTGTAGGTAGGGGTTTTAATGAGTTTAATTGAGTCGAGTTTTCAACCACTTCAACACGATTAGATAAGTATATCTCCTTCACTTGAAATTCGATTTGACTTGAATTTAGGGAAGTCTCATCATATTTGAAATTTGACTCGAATTTTAAAATAAAAATCTACACTCAACCTAATATGACACAAATATAAAAAATATATTTTTATTTAATAAAACAATAACTAATTGAAAAAAATTATATATAAATAGATTTATTATAACAATAATCTCTAAATATATAAAGAAAAATTATACTATTATCTCAATTGGATTTTTTTTACTATAAATTCGAACTTGATCTGATCTTAATTCGAATTATTTTTTTTGTAAAAAAAATATAATCTTATAAAATTAGATGAAGTGGAAATCCGTCGAATTCATGAAAAAAGTATATTAAAAATTTTACTCCTATGAGATTAGATCATATTGAAACTAAATATTCTTATTATAAAAAAAGCTATCTTAAAAGTCAAAATTTATTATCATCAAAACTTTATTTCAATGAAAATTATTTACTATTGCACTAGAATTTACTATAGATTATATTAAAAGTTGGATTTTTTGTTATTAAATTTAAAAATAAAATAAAAAAAACATGTTTTAATAGATTTTATAACTCCATTTTGTTCTAATGGTTTTTATTTGTTTAGAATTATATATTTATACAAAATTTAGTATATTAAGTATTTGTAGATTCGATTTACTAAAAATTTAAAAACATAATACGATTAAAATAATCTTAGCCCCTCTCCACCGTCCACTTTTTTCTTTAGAGTTTATATCAAAAAAATTTTATAGATCAGATTAACTTTTTTTTAATTTAGTTAAGTTGGTAATGACATCGATTTTAATATTGGTTGGTGATCGTCGGTTTTAATAAGAATAATTATGCTTTTATGGCAAGTTTTTCATATTATTCTCGGTCGTTTGATCATTCTTTTTGTTTTATGTTTTATCAGGGTTGGATTTAAAGATGTCGCGACTGATCAAGATGACACTTATTTATAATCTTGTTGATCTTCCATGCTATAGACCATCGGATTGAATTTGGATACTTGATTTTACGTTCATAGATAGGTTCTCGTGATGTTAGGCTTTGGTTTGCTGTTCTTTGTGGTCTTTCAATACATTAATATTTTTTTGTGGTTCGTTTGTTAATGCAGTCATATTTGTTCGTATCTATTTCTTGTTTGAGTATTTTGGTTAGATTTTTAATCTTTTTCATGTTTGGTCCTTATATGATCTAAAGTGACTAGTTTCAATATTATAAGAAAATATTCAAATTATGCATTTAGTTTACGATGATAGTTCTAAACTCCTATTATAATTTTAGATATTTCAACCTTTTAATAAGAATAACGGATTTTGTTCAAAAAAAATTACATAATATGAAATTTGATGATTTTTACATTATACATATTTTATCGCATGATTATACAATTAAATAATATCTAAATTTATTATTATTATTATTATTATTATTGTTGTTGTTGTTGTTTTATATGAAGAGCACAAATGCGGAATATTATTTAGCAGATGAGTCACGGAATTGATTAGAATTGAAGTGTATAATTTTTTAAAGAAAGTGACAGGTCACATGCTAATCTCACCGCATAAACAAAAGGACAAGTGCATTGGATCCTATTTTCTCCTATACAAATAACAATATGATTTAAATTAGGGTAATAATTTGGTTCGAATTTGATTTGATTATGTAGAGATAATTTTTCTTAAAAAATTAAATTTGGTTCGAATTTAATTTTATAAAAGATGAGATTGGATCAAATTGTGATTGAGTTTAAGATGAAATATCTCTGATTTGGTCTGACTCGAGATATTAATTTAATTTCCTTACATATTAAAAAATAATTTCCTTAATACCTCTATCTTTATAATTTATTTTCAATTAAGGTTATATTTCATGAAATAAAAAAATATTATATATATATATATATATATATATATCGGTCAAATTATTTGGTCTTACAATACATAAATTATACATATATATGTGTGTGAGAGAGATTAGTTTTCTGAAGAGGTGTGTGATATAATAATTTTTAATATTATAAGATAATTACAAAATAATATTTATTTAAAATATTTTTAATTTATTGATAATATATAGATATTTTATAAACGTCGTTACTTAAACTCACGACCATTAAAAAAATAAATATTTTCTTTTATCGCTTAATTTATTTTATAAATTTTAATATGTATTTACTTATTTAATACTAAGTCCGATTAGAAATTTTAATATTTATATTAATTAAGATTAAAATAAAAAATAAAATGTTGAAAATGTTGAAATTTTTTTGTAAGATTGAATCATCGTATATTTATTCTCCTAGTCCTCCATTGCCAAATCTCCATGCAAGAAAACAAAAATACAAAGTAAATCAGAGTCTCAGAAGAGTTTCACCGGTTCATGCAAGCTAAAAATTCCTCTTAGGTTGCCTCGTCTTTTTACTTAGCGACAAATCCACTATCACCACCACTAGCAGTCCCGGCGGCGCCGCAGCACTGAAAAATGTTGCCTTTCAATACAGTCGAGGAGGCTGCCACATTCATGGGACGGAACCTGACGGTGGCCGAGACGCTGTGGTTCAATTACTCGGCTAAAAAATCGGATTACTATCTCTACTGCCACAATATCTTGTTTTTGTTTCTGACATTTTCCGTGGTTCCTTTGCCTCTCGTACTCGTCGAGATGATGAGATCTTTGGGATTCGATAAGTACAAGATTCAACCCAAAGTTAACCTGTCGTTGTCTGAGATGTTCCAGTGTTATAAGGATGTTATGCGGATGTTTGTTCTTGTCGTGGGTCCTTTGCAGTTAGTGTCTTATCCTTCAATTAAGGTAAAACTCATTTAATTTTCCAGGATTTTTATAGATTGGATCGTTTTTTTATTAAACTTTTTGGGTGAAAGCTTGAGTTTATGGAGAATGTGATTTATGATATTGGGAAATTTGTTTATTCATGGGATATAATTGTGTTAATATGAGGATTTCTTGAACTTTCTGACTTCAATTTTATGTTGGACTTAATGAGATTTTCATTTTCATCAAGGTGGATTATGCAATTATGATATATATATATTTTTGGTTAGTTTTCTGGGAAATTTGTTTAATATTTTTTTTTCAGTTTCAGTGACAGATCAGTTCGTTTTTACTCAGTTTCATTAGTGAAAGTTCTTGAAGATTTGAACATTTAGATTCCTCTGTTTATTTAGACACTTAATTTGAATTATTTTGAATCTGTAACTTGATTATTGCAAGCTACACAAATCAGCATCTTCTACCTTAAACAATGGGGTTTATCTACTAATACAAGTCCTTTCTTGACAGATGATCGGGATCCGAACAGGGCTGCCATTGCCATCACTATGGGAGATTGTGGCACAGTTGACTGTATATTTCATGATAGAGGATTATACCAATTACTGGATTCACCGTTTCCTCCATGGTAAATGGGGCTACGAGAAAATTCACTGGGTTCACCATGAATACACTGCTCCAATTGGCTTTGCCGCACCGTATGCGCATTGGTTGGAAATTTTGATCCTCGGGATTCCGTCTTTTCTCGGGCCGGCTATTGCTCCGGGGCATATGATCACCTTTTGGTTATGGATAGCTTTCCGGCAAATTGAAGCAATTGAGACACACAGTGGGTATGCATGCTAGAGCTTAACCTTTCTGAATGTTGTTTTACTTTTCCATTTTGTTCAATGCCCTTTGTTGCTTTAATCTTGTGACTGAATGATGACTACTTTAGGATGTTTTTCATTACTTTTCAAAGCCTCCTTTCTATATTAAATTGCCTGGATTTTTAAGGATCTTTAAACAGTGGCAAACTTTTTCTTGATATGTTCCTTTTGATATGTTTAACTTTGTTTTGCAGGAATTGTCGGTTATTATCACCTCAAAATGTGGAATGCAATAATATATGAATATTATACACACACATAATTCAATGGTTTCTTTTGCCTGATATTATCGATTTTTGAAAATCGATTATTGCACTTCATCACATTCTTTGAAAATTTATGTTTTTTATCCCTTCTCATGTGATGGAGATTAACCTCAGCATCTGTATTTTCCTACATCGATTTTGACCTCATGTACATCTATTATGTCTTCTGAATTTATGAAAAAAATGACATAATTTCGCTATATTGGTTTAAATGAGGATAAAGACTATAGTTCGAAGTTGACTGTGTCCGTAACCACGCTGCTGATGAAGAGCAGTCATATACTCACATTTTGAGTTAACAAGCTGGCTGAAGGTATCTGTGATTACTATTGAAATAGGAGTTCATTGTAGGAGCTTCTGTTAGGAAGCTATTTTAGGCAATAATTAAAGCTTAAATTACTCGGATTTGACATCCAATCAAGCTTCATAGAGACAACGAGCATTGGCTTTTTGTTAAGAATGGCTGTCAAAGCATACTGATGTCACGAACTATCTACTTATCTGGTTTAAATTGGTCTTGGGGTCTATTATGGAGACAACATTAGAAGTAAGGCAACTTGCGTTTTCCTTTTTCCATCTTTTCTCAGTGTGTAAGTTGTATTTTTAATATGAAACCTTCCCAAGTATAATGGCTTTGAATTTAAGATATTTTTTGTAGTAATTGGGTACATAGAGTTAACCAAATGGCCTATCTTACTCAGATTAGAGTGTGAGTGTCGGATATGAGTATTTGTCCAACATGTATATAGCTTCGTATTAAGGCTTAATGCAGTTTGTTTGTCAGTGTTTAGTTTGCTGAAGCTAGTAAGTGGTTTCTGCTGCAAAAGTAGGCTGTTTACGGTATTGGTTGTGTAATGCAGATATGAATTCCCTTGGACACCCACAAGGTTTATCCCGTTTTATGGCGGCGCAGATTATCATGATTATCACCACTATGTTGGAGGACAAAGCCAGAGCAACTTCGCTTCGGTTTTCACTTATTGTGATTATATCTATGGCACCGACAAGGTAATTGAACAGTGCATGCTTTCTCGTGTAATCAGCTGATAACTTTTCTCGTCTAATAAATCTTTTTCTTGTGTCATTAGGGCTATCGATATCATAAGAAGGTCCTAAAGAAGGTAAAGTCGCTCACTTCCTTTGTCGCATACCTTTTATCGCTTGCATTGGCATGTTTTACACTGCCAGAAAATGTGAGCGGATCACTACGGTCTAAACCGGGTTATTTCGAACTCATGCTTGTATATCATTGGTTGATGTCACTTGCAAAGCTTGATTAAAAGTCAATGTTGAATGTTTAAAAATGATTTTTCTTGCTTATAATATGCTTCATCGAGAGTCTTAAGATGAGGGGTTTACGTGAAAGCCACGCATATCATGGCTTCCGGCTCAACATTTCTGTTTCTTTCATTCCGCTAACGTGTTCATTGCTGGTCTAATTCAGTTGAAAGAGGGATCCAAAATTGGTGGTGCTGAAAACGGAAGCTCGTACTATTATCCTACTCAAGATCTCAAATCAGAATAGCCGCTCGTCGATGGAGCAAATCTCTCTAGAAGCCTCTTCGGTCTACCTTTCGGGTCGATCGCGAAAAATCGGAGGAAATCTGATTTCCAGTTGACATCATATTTAGTATGATAAAAGTGGTTAAGATGAGTAGTAGTATTTGCAATAGTGATTTTGTGGGTAGCTTGGAAAGAGATTTCAGTTCTAGTTCTTATTTATTTAGGGTTTTGATGTTTGTGCTCTGTTTTAAGTCTTCTTTTGTTTAAACTAAGAACCTATTAAATCAAAAGTGATGGTGTGTGTATTGTCCTTGAATTAGTTAATTTGTGAAGTATAGAATTATTAACTTTCGAATTTTGTGAATTGCTTTGATAAAAATCATCATTGACTGTTATAATATTAATATAGTTGTCCACAATATTAACATAATGGTTCACATATGAATAATCATATATAGTAAATTTAATTAATTAATAAGTTTAAAAACTTAATATTTTTTAAAAAAATCAATAACTTATCTAGTTTTAAGTAAAAAAATTAAAAATTTAAAAATGTGAAATAACAAGTCGGGTTGAGTCAAATTTTTGATCAGTCCGACCCAACACTAGAAGCAAACTCATTTCACCCAAATTCGATCCGAGTTTTGGGAGGTTTTATCATACGAAAAAGTTGACCTGAATTTTGTGATAAAAACACGCAACTGATTCCATCCAATACAAATATAATTTTTTTTATTGGACAAAATATGGACCTAATTTTAAAAAAGTATAAATATATGTGTATTATAACAATTATCTCTAAACGTATAAGAAAATTTTGTTATTATTTCTTGTTAGAGATTTTTCATCACAAATCCTAGTTTAACCTGATTCGATCCAAATATTTAAAAAAAAGAATTATCAGTCAGATCAAATAAAAAATATCGATTTAAGATTAAATTAGCATATTTAAATATGATAAATTACTATATTAATATCATAATAATTTTATGATTTTGATGGGATAATTTAAAATTAAAATTAGATTCCTTAAACAAGGTCAGGAATTCGATTTTTAACGTTTGTGAATAGAGTAAATTAAGTTGGAAGGGTCGTCATCATCTTTATAGTACTGATTGAAATTAATCAATTAATATATCGGATACCGATGAATATACAAAATAGATATTTTGGAAGTCTGGCAAAGGCCCGGTAAGAAACTGAGACGAAGACCCATCAATCTCTAAGAAAATTCTTTCTGGGCTTCCCGAGAAAACCGTGTTGAATGAAAATCATTGCTTCTAGTTCATTAGAAATTTTGATTATATATGTTAGAATTTCAGAGTTGTAATCCAAATCTAGCATCGGAAATTCCAACCGCATCATCAAATTCATTATTTGACCCAAATTCCGGGGAACGGAATTCCTTTCTTCGTTCCCCCTTCTCTAATTCTTCCTCCCCCACTTCAAATTCTCTTATTTGTTTTACAAAATAAATAAATAAAAGAATCAAATTTTATGGCATGGAACGTGTTCAAATTCTGCACGGCACTGCGTGCTCTGGGTTCCATTTTGATTGTTTTCGTTCTCGCGATCATCGGTGTCACTTACTATTCAGTGGTCGTCGCACATTATGGTCCAAGTCTCTTTCTTGGAGGCTTTGAAACGTATTTTGCCGTTGTAGTTCTCATCTTGTTTCATTCCCTAGTATACCCTTTTTCCTTCTTTGGATATCCTTTTCATGATTTGCCTGTAATGGTCCTATGAAGAACAAAGATTCTAGCTTTAGCTGTTCCTTTTGTTTGATTTGTAATGGAATGCGGGATACTTGACTATAAGGGAGAGTGCATTTAAGTGATTTTTAGAAGAGAAATATGTTTTAGATTTAGCTTTAGATTTCATTGGTGATTTTATGATGACGAGAATTTATTTTTAGCTCAAGTTTTCCTATGCGATCAAATGCAGGTTATTTGGTTGATGGTAAACGATTTGAGTAGCTTTATTGTTTTGAATTTTTGTGACTTTAGGGCTCATGAGTTCTAGATTAATGGGTTTTTTTCTGGATTTGAAAGGAAGAAAAGGATGAAACCCGGGATTAGTTGTCGTAACATTTATGGTTCTATTTCCTTGTCTATGTTGTGATTGGTTTTGTTAGATGGCATTGCTGCATTTTTGAAGTAAGCTTACCTGGTTTTTCAGCTGGTAATGGTAATGTGGTGTTATTCTTCTGTTGTTGTAACGGATCCCGGGGGTGTCCCACCGAATTGGAGGCCTCTCACGGATGAGGAGAGAGGTGATGCCGATCCACTGGTAGGTTCTGGTTATGGAAGTGCAGAATTAGACTCAAGGCAGTTAGCTATGCCCAGTGATTTCATGAGCTTAGACATACGTTTGTCACAAGTGCAAACAATTTAAACCTCCTCGCATCCACCACTGCTCTGTTTGTGAGTAATCTACGATGAATTCTTCAGTTGTAGCTTTGTTGTTTTGCCATCTTTAGTGAAAGAACCCTGGTTTATTTATTGATTTCAGGTAGGAGGTGTATACTAAAAATGGACCATCACTGTGTTTGGGTCGTCAACTGTGCTGGGCATTCAACTACAAGTATTTCCTTCTATTTTTGGTGAAGTTAACGTTAAGCATCTATTTATGATACTTAGGTAGGTGATGGCCATAGGATTTATGGTGACTGCCAATACAAACGTCGAACATAACACTACATGATACGGACTAGTGGAAAAGTGAATAGATGGAGTTGCTGAACTTGAGATGCTCCATGTATGATCGTTCTTAATTAGTGGCCTACTAAGTTACAATTCATAAACCGAAAAAACTTGAAGCTAAAATATGATTGTTCTCTGCCGTAAATTTTGTAAACAATAGAAGCTTTAAGCCTCATAAGAATCCCCTAATTTATTGCTCGTAAGATTAATAGTTTTTTTCTCAAGGAAGATGATATCATTATATTACCTCGATTAGTTTGTGGGAATCTGCAACCAACAATGCTCATTCTGACTGTTGCTTGACTGTTTGAAAATATGATGCTGTACTATTAAGAGATTGCATGCCTTCCATTGCCCACATACTCATAAATGGTATTATGTGAGAATTTATCAAGAAAGAATTGTTGTTATGTTTATAGAACTTGGATCGTATTTTTTTTTATGCTTCAATGTGAAACTTACTGTGCGAATTTATCGAGAAAGATGGTATTCTAAAATCAATGGCTTTGTATACTTTTTTCCCGGATGATATGTGCACTCGAGCATGTATTCTAGTGATTGATATGCTCCATTTCTAGCTATTTAAACATTTTGTACTTTTCACCATTGCTTTCGTGCTACAACCTATTTTCTGCTGGGAGTTCATATGTTGAGTCTTATATATTAACTAGATTCTTATGCCAACTAGATATCAGTGGTTGACATGCGATTAGTGGGAATATGCCAAAAGGGGAAAATTGAGTTGGATTTTGTTTTTCTTAAATTTGATGCAGTTTTACACGTTTCTTGAGACAACTCTTGTCAGTTTATTGTTACTGCGGGTCTTTATGGAGTTTTTTAACGATGGCGAGATAGATGAAACACCAGGAGCACTTGTAGCTACTTTTATCACATTTGGTAAGTTTGTAAGAGTGTAAGCATCTTCCATCGAATTGGTTGTCAATGTTTTTAACCAATTGTAATCCAAATCTTTCAGTTTTAAACTTGGCATTTGCGCCGAGTATTCTGGGCTTTCTAATTATGCACATAGCATTGGTTGGAGGCAATACCACCACTATTGAGGTAATCTCTTGCATAATGTATTTTTCCGTATTGCGGACGTAATTAGTAAAGGTCCTCATTTTTTTTTGCATGTTGATATTTCAGGCATATGAGAAGAAAACCAGTCCTAAGGGGCGTTACGACCTCGGTTGGAAGAAGAATTTTCAACAGGTTACTTCATTTTACTTGTTAACTTCATCGATTTCACTATGCACCACATTGTTCTGGAAACGATACGAGCTGCATAAATGCATATCTTACTATTGCTGCCAAGCATTCTAAGTGAAAACTTTACCTGAAATGATTGAACTCTTTTTCCGAATTCAGGTATTTGGACTAGAGAAGAAGTTCTGGTTCATCCCGGTCTATTCCGAAGAAGATTTAAGACGAATGCCTGCCCTTCATGGTTTCGAATATCCAACAAGGCCCGACTGGGAACTACCTCAGCGACATTAACAGGGGAACAAAAACAAGCCTTCTAGTTTCAGTCGGTCCGGGTTACATCTTATGTACATGTCTGTATCCTTGTGATTACATGGGTTTTCATCTGAATCAATGTTGTTATTGCTCCAAAGAGAATGGGTTGAGAGGCACAGCGGTGAGAGCTCAACATATTTTCATTGATTTTCGCTGTCGCCAATCATCCATCATATGTAATCTCTCCATCTCAGACTTTGTGTTGTTTATATATTCAGTTTTCATTGAAATGAGGCAATGATTGGAACTTTCAAAACCATTTCTTCCAGACATCAGACAACCTGGTTAGTTGCCTGCAATAATATACTCAACTTTCACATACTTTTAATATTTACAAGCCAGATTCTAATTTTTTAAGTCAGATACTTTTATTGAGATATTTTATATGATGATAAATCAAATGGTTAAAATGTAAAATGTAAGTGAAAAGAGTGCAACTCTGGGAAACACGAAAGCATGCATGAAGGCGGTCATGGCGTCGCGTTTTTCAGATGAGAAAAATGTGAAAGAAAGAAATAATCAAAATTTAGACTGTTTCCATCGCCCGTTTAGCCTCTTCTTCCTTATCTCCGCTACATTTCACTGTTTCACGAGTTACAAAGGCAGCTAAAGTGCAATGGATAATAATAATAATTAATTAAAAAATAAGTGTTTAAATTATATATTTTTTTTTTATTTTAAATATATTTTTTGTTTAAAATAAAGTGTTTAATATTTTCAATGTTATTATTTTAGATATATAACCTGTCACAGTAAAAAAAAATTTAATTATTCAAAATATGATAGATGTTATATTTATAAAATTTTAAAATCTTATTTGAAAATTTGAAAATTGTATATATATATATATAAATAAATCTTAAATTTCTCTGAAATCACGTTCATTACTAAAAACCTTAATTTTTTTAATTTTAAATCGTATTATCAGTCATCGTCCATCGTCATTGCTACTACGGTTATTGTCGAATATTTTCATATATATTTAATTAATGAAGTAACATATCCTATACTATTATTTTGATGATATAGTATATATCACGTAATTAATTTAATTTTAGATAATATGACATATGTCACTTCTTATTAAATATATATA